ATGGTGATTGATACACAGTCTTCTAAATGACTCTCAAACTTTTGTACGACGTGGTGTAAATGGCAGTTTTGACAGCACGCTCTGCCTACCCCGCAAGGGATATAGGCGTGATGTATGAATGTATGTTCTATGTATTATGATGGAAGCACGCTTAGGTATGTACTTGCACGATATTCCACGATATCTTGTACGTTTCATATTTTAGACGCCCAAGGAGGGCTATCTGAGTTGTCTTGTAGCAGCCTCGGCTGTTAGTTTGTGAAGAGTTCATTATACTTGCCTGTAAACTGAAAAAACGTTTTATTGACGAGAGGCAGGGACTTTACAAACCCATGGATACGGAACCTTCTGACGACCATATTATAGATGATACTTCTTTATTTTTTTTTCTTTACAAATTTTTACTTTACCGTAACTTGAACGTTAAACGCTTCAAAAGCTGTGGAGGCAAAGCGTTAAAGCTTTAAAGAAATATAGAGGTTTAAGCGTGCGTTTTGTGCATGGTATAATTGAATTTGAATTTTAAAATGTACGCTACGGGTTTAACCGACAATAGGAAAGTAACAAAGCTTCTGGTTTAGGAATATAAGGCGAAGATCGATAATTAAATGTTTTTTACGTACTTGTGTCCAATCTTCCAAAGAGAGCTGTTATTCGTCGTTGCAAACCTCTTTTTACCTTTATTATTAGGCACAGCAAAGCTTAGATATGTAGGTAAATTTAAAATCGAAAGGGGCGATTTTGCTGACGGACGTTTTAAAGTTAAACTTCTGAAGTCGGTTATCTTCTATTTTCCTCGTAACTAATGGTATGTTCTTTTTTTTGCTCGTATATGAAGCTTGATTCGATTTTCCATGATTTAAAATGCTCTGAATAATTCTGATGCACCATAATTCGTTTAAATCGGGTAAAATGCGAACACTCAACCAACACGGAATAAGTTAATAGTCTTTAAAACATCATCATCTACCTGTCATTAACCCAAATCGAATGGGATCTGCGCAAAATGTTTTGTTAGACCACACAAAATCATGCAGCAAAAGGATTTGGCAATGTTTTATGACCGGCCGCCTGCCTGACGTCAACCCTCTTTGGGAATCAGTAGTAGAAAACAGACCTTCCAAAAGCTTAACAATTTCATCAAATTGGCAACAGACTTGTGGCGAAACAGAGACGAATTTAGGAACAAAACACAAAACAGAGGCGAATTTAGACGCGAGATTCAAAACAGGGACCAATTTAGACACTAGATTCAATTCAGTCGGTCTCTTTGGCAGAATTGCATCGGCAGGGAGGGAGTTGGGAATCTGTGCTGGCGTGTAACAGCATTATCCGGCACCGACTGGCAATAAGCTCTTTCTTAGTACAGAGCCGGATTCAGTTGTACATAAATAATACTAATATTTCTCAGCGGGAGAGTTCGCATGTCCGGTGTGGCACAGATCCACTCACGCGAAACAGGTCGACGTTGCCCTGAATGAGACATGTAGGATAATAACAGGCTGCCTCAAACCGACACCAGTCAAACTGTTATACCCCCTGGCAGGAATAGCTCCACCTGAGGTGCGCAGAGAGGTAGCGTGCTGCATTGAAAAGCAAAAACAGCAAACTGACACCAGGCACCCACTCTTCAATACCAGAGAGTGTGACTCCAGACTGAAAAGTCGAAACAGTTTCATGAAGTCGAGATTGCCAATTGCCGACAACCCAGATGAAGCTCGTCGCAAACTGTGGTCTGAGAAATATCCTCCTCCCTCCGATTACATCAAACCTGCTGAAGAGCTCCCAAAAGGTCATAAACTCCCATGGTCTACCTGGAAAACGTTAAATCGGTTGCGAACACAAGTTGGCCGATGCAGGTTTAACCTAAATAAGTGGGGATACAGCTCTAACCCTAATTGCGACTGCGGTGCCTTGCAGACGATGCCCCACTTAATGTCTTGCAGTCAGTGCCCCACTACCTGCACTTTGTCCGACTTATATGAGGCCACCGACAGTGCCGCAACTGTGGCAAATTTCTGGTCAAAATTTATTTGAGTCATCGACACGAAAGAAGAAGAAGAAGAAGAATACTATTCGTAAAAGGTGACGTAGAATTTTTCACCTTGGCTACAATACAATAACTGCCGACCATGGTCAACCGTATGGTCGCAGTAATACCATCAATGATAGCATTTTTGACGTGTGATGTGGCGCAGTGGTTAATATGCCTGCCTGCCACGCAAAGGTTCCGGGTTCAATTCCCGGTGGGGCCACTCACAAAGTTGATATTTATCACTTTGTAATTTTGTTCTCAGTCTGGTTAGGACATTGCAGGCTGAACCACCTGATTGTCCGCAAGTAAGATGGTTCTGTGCTTCGGATGGGCACGTTAAGCCGTCGGTCTCGGTTGCTGTCTATGACGGCGGTCGTTACACAACCATGTCAGAGGCGGTTGAAAAACTCTGACACCAGGGTTCATCGGGTCGTTGAACGACTCGGTATCCCACACGAAAAAAAGCATTCAGAGCATTAGCAGAGCACTAATCCGGGATTCCTGACCTTCAGTAAGTACTCCATTAAAGAGCAAATGGGGTGATGCTGTTCTAAGCCGGCATCACACGGCATACCTGACTCCAACTCTGTTTGTAAAGGTGAATTTTTGATGTCGTCCGAGCACTAATCCCGAAGTTCCTTAGCTTTTCCCTCAGTAAATACTATAGACCTTCCCAGCTTTGCGACGCCATTTAAATAAGAAAAGTTTTTATATTCAAAGGAAATGAGTCTTCAGCTTCAAATGGGACACCAAGTCGTTTTTCGACCCGATAAACCCTAGTGTCAGTGTTTTTCAACCGCCTACTGCAAGTAGCAGGCCTCTGACATGGTAGTGTAACGACCGCCATCATAGACAGCAACCGGGACCGACGGCTTAACGTGCCCATCCGAAGCACGGAACCATCTTGCTTTTCGGGTGGTTTCGCCGGGGGTGATGCTATATTATGCCGGCACTACACAGGTTCAAGCCGTTCTTACAATTTTCAGTCCCGTGTACTATTGCCAGCAAATCCATGTATTGTATCCAGGGATCATGTTATACTGGTTTATCATACCAATTGCAACGGGTAGGTGAATTTGCTAGCGATAGTACCTACATGAGCCTGAATAATAAATACAGGGTGTGCGCGTTTGTTTCTCAGCGAGATTGCGTGCGGGAATAATGTATGGAGCGGTTTCTGAACATCCTGTGTACCTGCGAAACCTATGTAGGGATGTCAGAGAAAGGTGTTCCAAATTTTCTGTTTTTGTATGAATATTATACCTCCATTTGCTATGAACGAAGGGAACTTTGATCTTTTAGACTCTTAATAAAAGGAAGGTCGCGAGCAAGTCAGAAATCTTCTTTCAGACCACGCAAATAAACGAAAAGACGACGAAATCACTTAGACGGCGGTCGTTACACTACCATATCAGAGGCCTGCTACTTGCAGTAGGCGGTTGAAAAACTCTGACACCAGGTCCATCGGGTTGTTGGACGACTTGGTGTACCACTTGAAAAAGAAGAACGAAATGAGATGAGTCCTGGGCTGTACTTTTATGGGAAATGAAGCATATATGAACCTAATGGAATACGAACCTAATAGGATGAAGGTTGTCGTTTTGGTGGATTATTTATTTTATACAAAAATGCCCCACTCGAAAAGAAACAGAAGATTTTTTTTAAATTCAGTATTATATTCGAAATGCTAAGATTTTTTTATTCAGCATAAATTATGTTCCTCGTACAGGGCAAAATTAATCTATTTTTTTCCACCTCCATTTGTAGTTAGATTAAACAAGAGTCGGCTCTGAATTTTTCAACAAGGTTTCGCAATTTCGATTCCAAACATGCCTGATTATTTAATAGGTGAAGCCCAGTTAAGGATGCAGTATTGTTGCTAAATAATAGAGTAGAAACACAAAATTAGATACATGCATACATACGTTCACATATCACACCTTTATCATTGCCATGTGATGTAATTTTAGTAAGTAAGATTAGTTTAACAACTCTGGTATAAAAAAAAACTGCCAAGATATTGGATGGCAACTTAGTATTTCCATGATCTTCTAAACAATATCTATCGGTATAGTATACGTCCCTTCGGTAGCGTTATGAATGAGGTAAGACCACAAATTAGGGAACGGCGCGGGGCGCGTAAGACTTTGTCAATGGGAGCTTAGTATAAAATATTTGAGGACTGTGACAGGTTGTGAGCCTGTCGTCTAAAACCTTCCGGAAAAATGCTCCGGAGGGGTCTAAAATTGTAACACACATGAAAATCTTTAGTTACAATCGCCTCTTACGACACCCGCGAAAAAGAAATGCGGTGTAAGCCGGTTTCAAAAGGCAATGATTAGATAGGTAGAATTTAATACGGGATGGCCAAAACATACTCACTATTTATTGGGATTGTAATGCACTCACAGTGCTATATTATTCTCACAAGTGAAAATAAGAAATAGAAAATATGACATGCATCGACCGGTCACTTGTGAGAATAATATAGCACTGTGAGTGCATTACATTCCCAATAGATTGATGAAGCAAGCTTCATCATATGGTTTGAATTCCACTCATAATGTGGACTAACCATGTAGTAAGTTCTAAATACTTTCTACAGATGTCGCTGGATCGTCGCTTGGAGACGAGCATCAAGGGATAGAAAATTTGGCGTTCATCGGCCGTGCATCGATAGCTCAGTGGCAGAGCGATGGGGCGTTTACCCATGCGGCCCGGGTTCGATCCCCGGTCGATGCATGTCATATTTTCTATTTCTTATTTTCACTTGTGAGAATAATATAGCACTGTGAGTGCATTACAATCCCAATAGATTGATGAAGCTGCTTCATCATATGGTTTGAATTCCACTCATAATGTGGACTAACCATGTAGTAAGTTCTAAATACTTTCTACAGATGTCGCTGGATCGTCGCTTGGAGACAAGCATCAAGAGATAGAAAATTTGGCGTTCATCGGCCGTGCATCGATAGCTCAGTGGCAGAGCGGTGGGGCGTTTACCCATGCGGCCCGGGTTCGATACCCGGTCGATGCATGTCATATTTTCAATTTCTTATTTTATACTTACTATTATCAACATGTACGTAATTTTACGTATTTTATCGTCCAGTGCAGTATTTAGAGGACGACAGACACGTCCGATGACTTACCTGTAAAAAAAAAGAGATAAAATTAAAACAAACTTTTTTTTCATGTATAATGTATGGCTTACACCAAAAATGATGCAAAAATTATGCAATGCTATAATATTATGTGAACTAAAGGCCAAATTATAGTAGCAGGTAATTTTTGAGGCCTTCACAGAAAATGATACATGTAAAAGTTCCAGCAGCAATAAATCAGAGGTAGACTCGATAAACTGCTGCATGATCCATATTCAGACGGAAACGCGGAATTCAGCTTTTTGAACAGACCGCTCCTGGATCTGTGCCAGCAATAACCGCCAATTTGTGAATCTGAGGTTGCATTTGAAACCAATACTGCCTTTACATAAGTTAAAAAACTACAAAGAATCGCGGAACCGAAACCTCACCGAAAAATTATTTCACACAGTTTGACCCCTGGTTTTGTCAACTTCAGTTTATCACATTGCATAGTTAACGAAATAATCAAGTATTAGATTTCATCCAGACTTAGAAACTTTCCAAAGAAACAAGCGGTGTAACATGCGTGGTTAACGAGATAAACGAGTTTGAAGTTTGACAACTGTCACTTAAAGTGTAGATCTCGTCAAGACTTGAACTTCTTCAAAGAAACTTTTTATGCGTGCTGGAAGGCGGATCACAGACAACTACTCAATGGTCTACTGCGAATGATCGTAAACTAAGGTTCGCGATAGTTCCATTGCCTGACTCAATCGAACTAGTGTGAAATAAAATCGCAGTAGTACCATCATGGAATTAGTCAATGTAACTACTGCGAATGATTGTGTTGTTCAACAGATGGCGCTGTTGGTATTCTAAAACGCGCTAACGGTTTGTTGAATCCGCGTTGAGCAAACTGTGGTAAAGACAAAAATAGTATATTGGTATTTTTAATGCACTCACAGTGCTATATTATTCTCATAAATTAAAAATAATAAAATTAAAAAATTTATCATGGTCAGCCAGGCGCCCGTATCTTAGTTGGCAGAACAGTAGAACAGTTCTCAACGATCTCGGTTGCAAGTCTCGGCGGTCACTGATGAACTTTAAAATTTTCTTATTTTCAATTAATGAAAGTTATTATAGTACCGATAGACAGGATCGAAAGTTTTTAAATGCAAATACACAACTACTTGACTACTTATACATACTTGACTACGTAGACACATCACGTCTTTATCACATACGGGGCAGGCAGAGCGGTATCGACCTTAACAACACTATTTACTAATGCGATGTGATACAATGCACATAGGCACAACCATAAGTCTTGTATAAAACAGACGTCGTGTTGGAAAATCGTCATGAATCTTAAAACACCATTCTCGCGCTGCGGGAACAACCGCGGGATCTTATTGTTTGTGTGTTTTTAAGTTATAAGCAGAAGCGTCATGTAAGGGCACCACACACCGGGCCCGAATGCGTGACGTGCATGTAGTCACGACGTCATTACGCGCGTAGAGATGACGCTGTATCTTATAGGATTGTCTTGTATTGTGGAGGCACTAAAGGCCGCGCACTATCTGCGTATGCGTGCGCGTAATTATGCGCGTAGCGCGGTGTGCAGTGTTTTATACTATCCCTTACGATACAACGTCATCTGTACGCACGTATTGACGTCGTGAATACGTGTGCGTCACGCATACGGGCCCGGTGTGTGGCGCCCTTCACTCTTAGGTTCGCAGTGTTAACTGCCAATGTGGTGCAGTGGTAAGTGCGACAGCCTGCTACTCAGAAGGTTTCGTACTTGGACATTGCCGGCAAGGACATTCTAATGTAATAGAAATTGTCCAGTTGTTTACCAACACACGCACACTTACACACGTCACACCTGATTCCCTTGCGGGATAGGCAGAGCGTAAAAGTACGGTCGTTATCACCACATTCGACAAATAAGTATATAGTGACAGGTTATCAGCGTGCCGTCCAAGATTACGATAGACATGAAGCTTTCGAATGCTTTAGTTGCCTTTTACGACACCAACGAGAAAGAAAGAAATAGGGTGATGCAAATCTAAGCCGGCACCTGTTCACACATCATCATCATCTTCCTGCCCGTATCCCAATTACTTGGGCTCAACGCAACATGTTTCATTTGAACACATTACAAAATAATAAAACAATTTTTTGCTTTTGACTTATACCACGCGCTAACTACATACGAGACGGTCTTACAACAATCCTTCAGAGAAAAGCGCCAGATAGATGTCTAGGCTGAGGAAACGCTGCACTAGCGAGAAACATGACTTAGAATAGCATCACCCCATTTCTAGCTGTAGTAGGACTAGGCAGCAGTGTTCGCTGTGAATACAATGTCTTTTAATGCGCTCTCAAGCCTTCCTGGTGTACCTTTAGCTAATACAGAGTATAATAAAATAATATACCTACACCTTCCTCATCAAAAATACCCAAACATTTTCGTTTTCATAGTCAAGAAAATAAGAAATCTATAAAATTAAAAGGTGAATGTAGAAAATATACATTAGGATTTTGAAACCTCTTTATACTCATTATTGAACAACATGAGCCATTTATTCCATAATGTTACAAATGGACAGTTTGGTGGGTCTGCCTCATTTTGCGTTTATCTTTGACCCTCCATAATAAACATACATATGTCTCAGATAATGTGATCCGTAAAAAACGTGAAATTGAGTAAACTAGCGTTGTCAGATCTCCAGATCTCCAGATCTGACAACGCCAGAATTCACCCAATGGTATTTTTGAAAGCTCAAAATTACAAATTACAGTTTATAAAACTTTCAAGTCCCTGAAGCCACCACAAACGAAAAAAAAACATGGTCAGGAATGAATGGAAATTAGCGTGTTTAAAGTTAAAACGTACGGTAGAGATGGCAATTTCACTAATGTCTTTTTAGAAACATAATCACATAAATTTGGCATCTTCGAAAGATTGATTTCCGAAAACAGTAGTCGATTTTAATGTCTAATATAAAAATGGGAGGTGATTCACATAGGGTGATTACTTTTGGCCCACCTTGTATAACCTTCCTGGTGTAATTTTTACGGTGTATGTATAATAATAGATGAGTGTAGCTAATACATTTTTATTTTTATTGCACTCACAGTGCTATATTATTTTCATATATTTATTTATTTATTCACACCTGCAAAAAAAGTATTCACAATTTCACCTTAAAGAAAATTTACAACGAAAGAAATAAATTTCTGGTGAGCCCAGAAAAACCGAAGTCTGTGTTAGGACTAGTTACATCACATTACAAATGAGTATTTAAGAGCAGTCAGTCAGAACATTTAGCATATAATATTATATTCGAAAATTTTTAAGAACTATTAATTAAATATAAAAATAAAGTATTGAAAAAAATTACATGGGGTACTGTCCCATCGCTCTGCCACTGAGCTGTCGATGTACCGATCGATGCCTACCAAAGGTGATAATCATATGCCCATACAAGGTTAGGCCCCTCGAAATGGGGGCCTAAATCGAAATGGCTAGTAATTAAACTCGTAGTAATGTATTTCTTACGCTATCTAGATCATGGTGGCATACTTAGTTTTTAATTATCTAACGGGAAACTGATGAAACGACGCAAAATAATTCTTAACCTAAAATGGCATAACCTAACTAAGTATTTTGATAAGAGTTATAAGGTGAAAGTATTTATACCCGCACACCCACAACGCACTCGCCGAATTTTGGATTCTTTGTATGAAAATCTGTGGAACCTCGAAAATATTGTCGAGCCGCACGCGCCTAACCGAACGGATTCCCCAGCCAGTGCTCTTTTCTCTTTTTCGTGTGGGACACCGAGTCGTTCAACGACCCGATGAACCCTGGTGTCAGAGTTTTTCAACCGCCTACTACAAGTATCAGGCCTCTGACATGGTTGTGTAACGACCGCCATCATAGACAGCAACCGGGACCGACGGCTTAACGTGCCCATCCGAAGCACGGAACCATCTTACTTGCGGACAATCAGGTGGTTCAACCTGCAATGTCCTAACCAGACTGGGAACAAATTCACAAAGTGATAAATATCAACTTTGTGATTGACCCCACCGGGAATTGAACCCGGAACCTTTGCGTGGCAGGCAGGCATACTAACCACTGCGCCACATCGGCTGTCTAATCTAAGCCAGTGCTATACAGTCATAGACTATAATGCTGATGACGTCATGAGCGCACGCGGACAGTGTAACCATTTAAAAAGATTTAGTTTTTGTCAATGCTGCCAGACTGTCCCATCAACATTACCTCCCAGTAAAGTCTGCTGTTCACCGTCCGTGTTCCAGTTTTTCTTAACTAAAGTTTCGAAGGTTTTGGAGTCTATGTCACTCTTAAAGAATAACCAAATGACATTTTCACATTTTGCTTATTTGACATTTTAATATTTGAGATTCCGTCCTTTTAAATATTTACAACAACTAACTACTACAGCTATGTACAAAGAGAATATACATTAAATTGAATTGACATTCTGTTACCTTAACATTTAGACATTGGCACAAAATGTTTTCCGCTTCTTCTTTACATTTTGTTACGTTTACATTCTAGCAATTTTACATTTTGCTACTTTGACGTATTGGCATTTTGCTTTTCTGCACATTCTACTTCCTTGAACAATAATATTTTTTAAAAGTTGAAACAGCGGGACCTGTAATATGTTCAAAAGTTTTGTTCCACCGTAGAACATAGAACGTAGAAAATATTCCGACCTGTTCTACTGTAGAAGTGATCAGTTGGATATATGGGAACAAAAGTAAGCTGCGTGGTGCACGGAGAAAATTCTGCAGTTACGAAAGTTGGCTGCTTGAACGTGCCTTTGGCGTAAAATGACAGCAATTATTATTTGAAATAAAATTCCGAAAAATACACACATACGGCAAAATTACCCATTAAATTGGG